ATTTATTGATCATTCAGTATCCAGTATTTATTAATTCATTTGAGAGCTATTCAGTGACTTTCTAATCTGTCTGAGGTGCCATGACCAGATGCTATAAACTCGTAGGGTTCCTTCCCTCATCACACTCATGCCCTATTGGCAGATAATCCTTTGGAGTGATCTACCACTAACTTTCAACACACTGAATTATAAGACAAAGCATTCATATGATTTGTCTCTTTCTCAAGGGAAGATACAAAGAACATTCCAGAAAAATAATTCACCATCTAGGGGCTAACGTGGAGTATACTTTTCTCATCCCTTTTGAGGGTTGAGGATGGCAGGAGGAGGATGTCAACACAAACAGAACTTCACACACCTTTTTTGCACGGCGAAATATGCTGGGGGGTTAGGGAGCCATCCTTCTTCCTGTGCTGGTTTGCAGAAGACACCCTGAAAAGGACCACTCCGCCCATACTCCTGCGTTCAGTGGAGAGCCTGCCCTTCGACAGGTAATACTCAGTGACTAGTATTCGCCAGACATCAGCCCAGGTGCTGGGACAGCAGATTTCAGGGAGGTTCTTAATATCACAATTCAAAATATAGAGGATCCCTGGCAACAACTGATTTGGTGAAAAAACCCAAATTATGAAACTAATCCCTTTTCAATGTGGTCTGTGAATAATCATGCCTTGCCCACTGCCTTCTTTTGTCCTTTTGAAATGACCTCGACCTAGAGCAGGAGTTAGACACTCATTCATAATTTATTAGATAAAGGTCAGTTGCATTTTAAGATGCATTTATTTAAATTGTAGCATTAGTTGTAAATTGGGATCTTTTTCTAAATAAATTGTCATTAATTTTTTAAACAAAATATATTACTCTACACCCTAACAAAAGACAAAATTCAAAGACTTACAGATACACTCCATCCTCTCACATACACAAATATTTGTGTTACAAATTTGGGATGCATTTAAAAACCTTCTTTCCATCCTTAGAGAACTCTAGAGTTTTTGCAACACACTACTCTTGCTTAATTACAGAAAAGTCATACATGTTTTAAATCTAAAATTAATCCACTCTAGTTTTCTTCTCTGGTGGCCAAGGTGACATTTCAGAGGATTTAAGGATCCCGGGGCCATGAAAGTTTCTACACATTGGTTGAACTCATCGTTTGGGACTTAGTATACTAATGAGTATGTTTCCATCACTTATGCATTTGGAATATAAAAGGATTTATTTTGAATGCACTGAAGCATGCTAAAAAATAGATATTTTTGTGCTTTAGATACAACCAAGGAGTTTTACTCAATGTCATTCTGAATTCTCCCAAAATCTAAGGAAGCAATCCCTAAGGAACCATTTGAAATATTTTGAGCACGTGTTTTTCTAAAAGAGGCATTTAAACAGCCCAAAATGGTTTTAGCAAATATTTATATATTAGTTATGTATGAAGGAAATCCAAGGTGACCATAAAATACAATATTGGGTCACTTTTATTTTTGAAGGTGATCTCTCAAAATTATTTTTTTTCTGACACACTTAAGAGCTAGAACTAAAAACATGATTCCTTAGCCCCACAGCAAATAAAAGTGACTCAAATATGCCATGAAAGCTTAAAGCAACAGATATCTCTTATTCAGTTCTATGCATTCATTAACAAAAATATGAGTTGAACTCTGCTGACATCTTTGAATAGTCCTTGGTACTAAATTTTTTGTCAGCAGGCAGAGCTAAAGATAGACTACTTTTACTTTTGTTACAGATTTCAATCTAATATCTTTCTCAAAACAAAGGACAGCAGGGATAGCAGAAGGGATGCAGCAGATGCAACATTTGCTTATCTGAAAAGGCTTCAGTATCTATTTTGGTGCATCTGACAGCGGAAAATGAAGACTTCCAAGTAAATAAACAAGCTACGTGGAAAGATATTTGAGCACAAGTACCCTGATTCCCATTAGTGAGAATGACAATGGAAGGAAATATACTCTCTGGTGATTTAGCTTTGTGAAATGAATCCTAATAAACCCAATTCAAAATAGTAAAAAGGAAAACACATCTATACTTATGGTGGCGTTCTAAGATTCCAAGCCCCAACATTCCATTTCTGTCTGTATTTAGGGTAGAAAGGGAAGAGCAGTGACTTTTCTCTTTCAGTTTCCTGTGTGGTGTGGGTTCCTGAGTGTGTTTCTTGACACACCCCTGGCAGGGACAAGACCACCTGAGGAAGAGGAAGTGAAATGTGAACCACCTGTCAGTTCTCATAGATCCTCTTGGATTCTGCCTCTGCTTGTCTCACCAACCTCATTTCTTACTATTGTCTTATTTTTTTAAAATACTCACCCAAGGACATGCTTAGAGAGGAAGAGACAGAGAGAAGGAGAGAGAGAGAGAAACGTTGACATGAGAGAGACACATTGATCAGTTGCCTTCTATATGCTTCCTGACCGGAGACTAGACCTGCAACCTGGGTACGTGCCCTGCCTGGGCACGGAACCAGCATCCCTTCAGTGCATGGGACTCTGCTCAACCAACGGAGCCACTCCGGCCAGCACTGTTGTCTTCTTGACCTCAGTCCAACCACATGGCCTTGATCCGATGCCTCCAAAGATCTGCTCTTCCCTGTCTCCGGATGTGCACAGCTGCTTTTCTGTGTTCCTTACGTTGTTCACTTAGATTTTTCTTTGGGTTCAGGTTGAGGTTCTCATGTCACTGGGGAAGGATTGCCCTGTCCTCTCTGTCTAGCGCCCACTCATCTAGCTGAGCTCTGGCCCAGTGACCAGCAGTCTCTGTTCACAGCACGCGCCGCCATCAGAGATCAGCTCCTGTGTCTTTCTCTGTGTTTATTGCCCGTCTTGCCCCCTTCACAGGAAGCTCCTTGAGAAACATCCTCATGTCTGCCTGTTATAACCACTGTGCTTCCAGAGCCTGGCCGTGTTGTTCCTGGCTCCCAGTGAGCAGCCAAGACATGTTTTGACATTAACAGTTTATCAATTTGTTTGATCCAAAGTAATGGGTTAGCGTCATGTAACCTCAGGGGGAGGAAAGAATAGTTGGCACCAATACTGCGTCCTTTTAGACCAGCGGTTCTCAACCTGTGGGTCGCGACCCCTTTGCGGGTTGAACGACCCTTTCACAGGGGTCGCCTAGGACCATCGGAAAACACATATATAATTACATATTGTTTTTGTGATTAATCACTATGCTTTAATTATGTTCAATTTGTAACAATGAAAATACATCCTGCATATCAGATATTTACATTACGATTCATAACAGTAGCAAAATTACAGTTATGAAGTAGCAACGAAAATAACTTTATGGTTGGGGGTCACCACAACATGAGGAACTGTATTAAAGGGTCGCTGCATTAGGAAGGTTGGGAACCACTGTTTTAGACCCTCCATTTCCCAGAAATGACTCCAGGGAAAAAGTGATTTTCTTTGGAGAATTTGGGATCCCATGATCTCTTCTTACAGTTTTACCCCACAGCTGAGTGTCTGGATGGGAGTCCCTGTAGGTAGTAAGCAATTCTGGAGGTGAAAGCCTTAATGTCTGCAAAATAGCTCACACGCTGCACGCATGGAACAGTGAGAGTGGGTCCCGGGCACAGTGCCTCTCTCTGGCTGCATTTTAATTTACTTTGATGGGAAGTGTGTGTGTGCTGCGTACACTATTGCCCTGCATTCCGCAGTGAAACGGCTGGAAGTGTCTGGCAAGTATGGGCAGGGGTGATGAAAACAGTTAGGTCTGAGTAACTTGCTCACGACTCTAATGATGTTCAGCATCACTCCCATGACTTCTGAGAAGTTTACAGCCTTCCGCTCAAGTCAAAAACTACATTTAGGGGATCAATGACACATAATAGACGGGCGGCTCGGCACCAGACGAATTCCCATTCTCCATAATCTACAGCCTAAAAAGTCATCGCCAAACATTTAAGAGCTTTCAGAAACGCACTCCTGTGTCTGCGATATCATGTTAAGCATGCTCAGAGCTGTACCGTGCGAAAGCTCTTTAATGAACAGGTTTCCAAAGGTGTTTTCATTTTCATGCAAGTGGATGTTTCTCGTCCTTCTCCAAAGGCAGTTGAGAGTGTACTTTATTGTGTGGCTCCAAGTAAACGTTTTTACACAGAGATAAACAGAATCCTTGGCTGAGCCACTCATCATAGTTCTTAAGGTGCACAGAGAAAAAGTACCTCTCCTGTCCCTGATTCTTTTATCTTCTTAACCTACACCTCGTCCCCATGCCAGATCCTTCTTTATGCCTGGATGGAAGCAGCTTTGCTTTTCAAGGTGAATGAATGGCAGTTCTGATAATGAACTTGGAGCCAGGCCTGCAGGGTGCAGGACAATGCTGTACTACCTCCTCTGGCAGCCTGGCCACAGGTCCTCACAAAGGTGCCCATAGATGGCAGGCCAGGCTCAGAGGCAGAGAGCAGATGCTTCTTATAAAGGTGATGCCCCCCACCCCCATGCTCCCTGAGGAGGAGCCAAATCCCCTCTCTTAGTGATTTAAGAAAAAGATTCCTCAAGCTACTTGGTAGACCTGCGTAAGTGCCCATCAGCCCTAAAGATGTATTAGCAAGATTTTCATAAAAATAAGTCATTTTGTAAAAGTCCCTTTATCTTGAGATTATTTACTTGATACTCTTTTGTGTTATAAAATTTGTACTTTTAAAATAATGGTGTTAATAGTTATAGACGCATAAGTTTGCTTTTGCATTTAATTTTAAAAATGTTTTATTGATTTTAGAGAGAGAGGGAGAAAGAGACGTCAATTTGTTGTTCCAGCCCTAGCCGACTTGGCTCAGTGGATAGAGCATCGGCCTGCAGACTGAAGGGTCATGGGTTTGATTCCAGTCAAGGTCATATGCTTGGGTTGCGGGCTTGATCCCTAGTAGGGGGCATGCAGGAGGCAGCCAATCAGTGATTCTCTCTCATCATTGATGTTTCTGTCTCTCTCTCCCTCTCCCTTCCTCTCTGAAATCAATAAAAATATAAAAAAAATTGTTGTTCCACTTATTTACAGTTTCATTGATTGATTCTTGTATGTTCCCTGAGCAGGGATCAACCCCACCTTGGTGTATTGGGGCAGTGCTCTAACCTACTGAGCTACCTAGCCAGGGCTTATGTTTTTTTAAATTTTTTAATTGCCTCCCCCTTACCCCACAAATAGGCCATGCCCAATTGATCTGCCAATGGCATTTTAGTTTATATGGATCCAGCCAATTCTAAAACATGGAGACTGCTAGATTATAATTCATTTTTTAAGCCTACAAAATATATGTGTTTGCTTTTTGAAGGTAACCTTTCAACCCTTCTTCCCAATACCTGTTGTTTACCACACACTGTTCTAACAAAGAAACCCAGGCCGGCACTTTTCAGTGCTCCCACCGGAGAGCTCCATCTTATGCATGACTCACAGGCACAGGTATTGCCTTTTGGGGAGTGAATGCGCATTCTTTAATGCCATTAGATTTGTATCATGCATCTTCAGTTGCAGTGGCCAGAGACACTCAGACATACCGGCATTCTGTTCCATGAGCAATTCCAGGTGTAACAAGAATGCAGAACATCATTTAATGAATCAGTTAGGCCTTCAGGTTTTGTCCCCAAATTAATCTCTCGGTAATTGCAGGGTCATAGACAATGTTTGAGAGTCACTTTTATCTCCACCTCCAAACCTAAAATGAGAGGACAGCAAATACACACTTATCACGGCCTCCTCCATGGCCTGTTAGCAACTTAATCAACACACACAGGTCGCCTGATGCATTGAGTTTCTTCTGTATGAAGCTGAGATAGCCACGCACTAAACCCTCCCCCCACCAGCCCCAGACCATGGACAGAGCCTTCCATTTGAAGTGCAAATGTTTGCCTTGTGATTTTGGCCTTGGGCTCTGTGACATGTGAGTGTTTTGAGGGCAAGGGGCATATTTTCTCATTTTGATAGCCCCAGTATTTGGCATAGGCCCTGGCATGAAAGCACATTGTTGACGAAGACAGTGGATGCACAGAAACTAACTATAAATTCTTCTTAGCTTCCAAGCCAGCTCTCCAGCTCCAAGTCTTCTGTGGCTGTTGGGAGCCCAGTGTTTCAGGGTCAGATGCACACTTTATGAAAACAGCTTGCTTACAAGGATCTTGTTTTAAAAATGAAGCCTGAGATATATTTCCCATCTAAACACAGAATGCTTTCACACACACACACACAAAAATTGAATTTTGGTTAAATAGCACCTCAAAGTAAGTACATCTAAGAAAGTGGACTTTACCATCAAAATCATAGTGAAACTTTTAGGCATAATTAAAAACATCAGTGGAGGAATTGTGTATGGTTGCTCCTAGATAATTTTGAAGATCGATTTGAAGGGAATTTGTACATAGCACTACTGAAGATCACAATGAAATCATCTTGAGTTTGGATGTTTTCCATTATTTATTGAAGTGCTTCCTTTCACAGAATATCTATTTTTTATATACTGTTTCTAAATGCTATCTTTCCAGAAGGCATGTTAACAGCAAATGGAGTTTCATAAAGCATAACACGTTGTGGAGTTTGAGTGAAGAAACATAATACATTTATAAAAGTGATAGATACAAGTCGGGGATATAGATTTTGTTTCAAATGTTAAGCATGATGAAATTCCAAGGCAGATATTTGTCATTAGGAACAATGATTCGTGGCTAAATGTGGCATAAATAAATGATAAACGGGATAATTACAGAACACAAATTCAGAATGCAAGCTTACAGAACCCACATTTTTTATTATCTCAGACCGTGAAACAATTAATACGTGAGTTACACAACAGGAAAGGAGACATGCTATGTATTGAATAACTACTAAATTCCGTGCTTCATATTTGTACATATTTATATTCTAAACTTAATGATTCTTCCAAACAAGTAATTTTCAAAAGAGCTGAGGCTCTGGAAGTTCAAATATATTGTTCAAGATCACAGGCCATGAGTGGCTGAACCAGGATTTTCCTGGCCATTATCCATAATCGGTCCAGTATTTTGTGGAGCTCCGAGCAGTGGATATGAGGAGTGTCACCACCCTCTGAGAGAGGCTGGGGTTCTTCTGATGTGAGTAGCCTTCATTAAGCTTTTAGAAGGGAGCGCGATGCTTTGTCAAGCTTACAGAACCCACATTTTTTATTATCTCAGACCGTGAAACAATTAATACGTGAGTTACACAACAGGAAAGGAGACATGCTATGTATTGAATAACTACTAAATTCCGTGCTTCATATTTGTACATATTTATATTCTAAACTTAATGATTCTTCCAAACAAGTAATTTTCAAAAGAGCTGAGGCTCTGGAAGTTCAAATATATTGTTCAAGATCACAGGCCATGAGTGGCTGAACCAGGATTTTCCTGGCCATTATCCATAATCGGTCCAGTATTTTGTGGAGCTCCGAGCAGTGGATATGAGGAGTGTCACCACCCTCTGAGAGAGGCTGGGGTTCTTCTGATGTGAGTAGCCTTCATTAAGCTTTGGCAGACGTCGCAAAGATAATTTATAATCAACAAGGATGACTGTGAAATAGGAAAGGTATCTGTACGGAAAGTATAGAGAAAGAATAAAGTGCTTCATACAAACTGTAGTCTGGGAAAGGGCCCATGAATTTGACCCATTGCAAATCCCTTGTGATGTTTGAGAGCACTTCTGGTCCCTGGTTTAACATGTAATAAATGATATGGTATCAGAATGAAAAGAGCCACTGTGTTCAAGGTCCAATCACCTCTCAGACAGACACTGCTTGAAGCTTGAGGTTCATGATCTCATAGATTCTTCTGACTCTCATTTATCAGAAACATTTCACAGAGGATCAGCTCAGAGAGGGAAAGAAATTATCTAACGGCATCCAGCTAGCAAGTGTCAGAACTGAGATGAACTTACAGTTGACCTAAATTCAAATGAAATTTTTCAGCAATATCACCTTTGCCTCCCTAAGGGTCATTGAATAATAAGGGTGGCAGGATCTAAGGAAGGTGATCTCAAGGACAGAAGAGATACCTGGAGGAGGAGGAGGGGCACAAGGAAGGAGATCATGTTAGAGAAGAGAGGGGTTGCTGCATTTTCTGAGCATTCAGGAAGGGAGCAGAGAATAGTTAAGGTCCAGCTTAGGACAAAGACTGCCGCTGGAGAGAGGGAAAGGGACAACTGCCTAACCCGTCCTTCCCCCCTCACTGCTAAGATAAGTCCTTTATTCCTTTGATTGTCTGTCCCTGTCATTGCCGCTCCCCTGCTGGAATAGTCATCCACTCTGCTCGTTACCACCAGGTCTCAGCTGTGCCTGGTTTTTCGCTAGACTCTGCCCCTGACTGCGGGTAGCGCTGGCTGATTTAGAAAGGTGAATCAAATGCACAGAGGGGAAACTCATTAAATGAGAACCTTGTCTTTTCCTGCTGCATCCTGGATAAGGGACAATGTTCTCCGCTAAGAGATTTGAGCCTTCATCTCTAAATCGTCCAATGGCTGGGAAATTCACCAACCCAAAGATTGGCATGAGTTGACCTGAGAATAGAGGTTAAGACGTCACACCTTTTGCCACAGTGAGTCCCGTACCGTGTTGCCAAGTGACATTCTGAAGCAGGATCTGGGCAAATTGTTGAGACTGGACATCCTACTGAGGAAATTTGGGTCATTTTGGAATGTGGATGCCCCTGGAGACCAGTGCTTCTCTAACTTTAATGTGAATCTCCCAGAAAGCTTGTGAAATGCAGGCTCTATATAAGGATGGGAAAAGGGCTGAGATATTACAGTTATAACAAACCATAGATGATATGTGTCTTAGTGTGCTCAGGCTGCTATAAAAGCCTGCCATAGACGGGATGACTTAAACAATAGACATTTATTTCTGACAGTTCTGAAAGCTGGCAAGTCCAAAGTCAAGGTCCTGGCAGACTTGGTGTCTGGTGTCAGGTTCACAGACACCTGTCTTCTTCCTAGTCCTCTTGTTGTGGAAGGAGCCAGCGTGCTTTTATAACAGTGGTTCTCAACCTGTGGGTCGCGACCCCTTTGGCAGTCGAACGACCCTTTTCACAGGGGTCGCCTAAGACCATCCTGCATATCAGATATTTACATTACGATTCATAACAGTAGCAACATTACAGTTGTGAAGTAGCAACGAAAATAATTTTATGGTTGGGTCACAACATGAGGAACTGTATTTAAAGGGCCAGAAGGTTGAGAACCAGTGTTTTATAAGGACACTAATCCCATCAATGAGGGTTCCACTCTCATGAGCTAATGACCTCCCAAATGCCCCAGCTCCTAACTCCATCACAAGGGGGTTATAATCTCAACGTGTGAATCTGGGAACACAAACACTAAGTCCACCAAGGCCAAAGGTGCCGACCCTCCGAGGACACTGGTTGGAAGGCTGTGGAGAACCTCGCTCTGTCGCATTTACTTGGGCTGCACACTTCTGAGGCAGGGCCCTGGGCAGCACTGCACTGCCCCTTCCTGAGCGATCATGCCTAGGCCCCTGGGATGCCAGCTGCTCGCCCAGATCTGCCTACATCTCTCTCCCTGACTCCACACTTGGTGACATTGTCTGATGATGACGGTGGTGGGTGTATTTACCCCCATGGAAATCAGCAAATGCCACCCATCAAAACGTGTTTCCACAGCTTCCTCTCTGTTACCATTTCATGCCTATCGCAACCAAAATTCTACTAATTTAAAAATTATTCTTCCAAGGTATTTACTTTCTGCAACATGTTGCTAATTTCTGAGTATCTATAGGACAAAAGTTCCATGTTGCCCAGCTGGCTTTATTTTCTATGGTGTCCAGTCTTAGATGTAAACAGAGGGAAGTGCCATGCCCTGGCCATATGACCTGTCTTATTTGCACATGGCATCCATGACACAAAGACTAAAAAATGTCTCCTAGTCAGGCAGAACTTTGAGCCTCATCTTGAAGAGCCCTTACTGTGCACAGGCCTCCATTTCTGAATGTATGCAATAAGGACATTGGCCACTTTTAATTAATTAACCTCAAAAAGGCAACAACATAGTCACAATTTAAATGCTACGTCAATGGGAAAAAAGTGTACTGAGCTAAAACCAGTCGACATATAAACACCCATATGAACATGAATTGATTGAGCAGGTTGAGGAAAATCATGTTACCTGGCTGAAGTTTTCTCATTAGATTGGGGTTAAGATTTGTGCCAATATACATATAATTTAGAGTTAAATGAATATACATATATGTAGATTTTCATAGAGAGAAGAGAAAGAGAGAAAGGAATGGGATGGGATGGATTGCCGAGTGAGGTGATTACTTGCTAGTGGGGGAAAAAAAGCGATGTAAAAACCTGCAGAAACTAACCTAAAACTAAGTGGCACTGTAGTTGTTATCAAGGGAGTGAGAGCCTCAGCAATCACAGATGGAGTGCACAGCAGCGTGAATCCCAGGGGATCTGTGGGTCCTGCTTTGGATGGAAAAATGAACTTTACTGAATGTTTCTTTCTCCCCCCTCTCTCTGCTCTAATAAATGTGCTTAGATGTAGTGAAATATTCCAAGACAGGCAACAGAGGGTATAGGAATGAAAAATGAAAAGGGCTATCATTAATTAATAAATGGATAATAACTCTGAAAGTTGACCATGCATTTAAGATGTGTATGGGGGGCAGGTGGCAAGACTCTTGTAAAATCCCAAAATTTTAATGCAAGTCTTCTCTGAAAAATGGCTTCATTATCATTATTATTTCATTATTATTCACCTTTCTTAAAAAGCAAAATAAAATTCAATTTGAACATTATTAACAGAAGATTCAACAGGAGTTTGAAGTGTTTTATCATTTAGCTAACCATCTGAAAACATATTGAGATTATAAACAACATTCTGTGAATAAGTAACAATGTACAAGGCTAATTTTGGGGTATAAGCTCCAATAGAGATGAATATACCTCATGGAAGAAAGCCTGACACAAGTAACAATTATTGTAGGTATGGGATTTGCTGTCAGAGTTCTTTTCTTCTTTGGCAATCACTGTGGTAATTTATATGGTTTTCACAGCATTAGGGAAGGCAGGGAAGTGCAATAAGATGAAAGTGGACTGAGTCAGAAGTCTGGGCCATGTTTAATCTGGGTTCTAACACTAACTTGTCATGAGAGACATTGAGGAGCCAATTAAATTACCTGGGCCTCTGCCCCTTTACATAAAAAAAATACCAATGTCTTTATTAGAAGGTCTGTAAGGTTCTAAAATTATCTGATGTTATCAGATTTGGACATGGAAAGTCTTTCACAACCCATGTGTCATCACTCTGAGGCTCCCTACAAAGAGGAGAGGTACAGGATCTATTCTTTCTTCTCGACCCTCCCTGGGTCATGAAAAGTGCCCGGCAACAGGGCCTGGTGTTGAGATGGGTAAAGCTGACATGGTGGGAATTGTAGTCAGGGGCTCACTGCAAAGCAAAGATGGGAGAATAATGTTAGTGATCTATTCATAGAGCAATATTTAAACCAAAGACAGGAGAATAATGGTTAGAGATCTATTCATAGTCTAGTGTTCAAACCAATGATGGGAGAAAAATGGTTAGAGATCTATTCCTAGTCCACTGTTCAAACCAAGGACAGGAGAATAATGTGAGTGATCTGTTCATAGACCAGTGTCCCAGTGAAGGTCACTCTGTATTTTGGAAACACACATCAGAATGAAACCCATTACATAACCCCAGGGACCCATCATTGTCAGGAATATCGTGAAGATGATTTGACTTTGAAATTGCAAACATGTGGTGACATGGTATGCTTAGGGTAATCTACTGGACCAATAAGATAGCAGAACTTGAAGTAAAACAGTGTTCTTCATTCGGAGGTGGAGCATCCCCTGACATGAGTGCAAAGTCAACTAGCCACCAAGGGGGAGTGCTCTGGGCTGGAACAGCTTTTTGGTTGCCCGGTATGAAACTCTCACCTTGTCAGTCATGGATCTGCTCACTCTTGGATCATTTAACATCTGCTAGAACAGATTCTAGTCTGCCACTCCATGTGTGCCTCTGTAACAGTGTGGCTCAGAAACACCGCCCGCCTTTGCCACAGAGGAGGCTGAGAATAAAAGGTGTAAATGCCTCTCCGGCATCCTTACATCCCACGAGAAACCTAAACTAGCCCAGGCCAAGGCCACCTAGAGGGGGCCCTGGGCATAGGGTTTCTATTGAAGGCCTGGGGCTATCTAATTTTTCCTTTCACTCCACCTTCCAGAAACTGCTCTGAAGCTATGGGCTCTGCTTGGATTTGGATCTCCGACCTTCTCCTTAGGTTTACAGGGCTTTATATTATGAAAGTCTGAATACAGCTGAGAGGCTAGAAGAAAATCATTCGAGAGAAGCTATTTGTGGCAGTCAACTCTAAGTCTATTTCATTGATAACAGTGATCTTTAATTTTATTCTCTGACCCTTTAATTAAAGTAAAATATCACGCCCTCCTAAAATATTGGTCATGCCCGACTGGTGTGGCTCAGTGGTTGAGCATTGGCCCATGAACCAAGAGGTCACTGTTCGAATCCTGGTCAGGGCATATGCCCGGGTTGTGGGCTTGATCCCCAGTAGGGGGTGTGAAGGAGGCAGCTGATCAATGATGTTTCTCTCTGATCAATCCCTCTCACTACCTCTCTCTCTAAGAACCAATAAAAATATATTTTAAACATAATAATAAAAATAAAATATTGATCATAAGTTTAAAATTAAGTTACATATGGTGACTAAACCAAATGAAAGTAATGGCGGAACGTATTGCTGTGTTCACACATTGCTCCATGGACCTGGTAGCCACCTTCCAGAGACGGATGCACCAGCACCCCACCCGGAGAGTCACGGAGTCCCAGAGGCACGGAGGGTGAGGGTGCTCCACGCCACGCTGAGTGAAGGCGGGTGGGCAGTCAGGTGGTACCTGCTAAGCTCCTGTGAAGGCCCCTGTGCAGTAGAAAGGGTGCTGAAAGCACATTGTGCAGCGACATTGCTGATGGAACCCTACAGCACAAGGGCAGCTTCCTTTCCTGGAAGGCGTGTTCTGTGTTACAGACCCCGGTTGCTCAGACTTTCCAAGAATGCTGAGAACAATGTATGCATCACAAGGTCAACATACAGCTTGAGTGGGAGAGGAACTCAGATGACCCGATCTCCTAATAATTACCCCAGGTTTGTATCCAAGGCAACAGTCAGATTTCTTCCATTTGATCTCATATCAGGAAGAAGAAAAGAATATATTTTTAGCCACACAGATACCTAGTGACACAGGCTGCTTGAATTCCATCACAAAATTAAATCAAACTCATAAATATATGTCAATGCAAATGCTAATAGAACATAGATATGTCAAACAACATTTAAAGCAAGACAAGCATATTCATGTATATTTTAATTTTAAGGAGGGCTCTGAAGTTTACTTTAAAAAGTAGGCATAAGGCCCTGACCAGTTTGGCTCAGTGGATAGAGCATCGGCCTGTGGACTGAAGGGGCCCAGGTTCGATTCCGGTCAAGGGCATGTACGTTGGTTGCGGGCACATCCCCAGTAGGGGGTGTGCAGGAGGCAACTGATCAATGTTTCTCTCTCATCGATGTTTCTAACTCTCTATCCCTCTCCCTTCCTCTGTAAAAAATCAATAAAATATATTTTTTAAAAAATAAAATAAAAAATAGGCATAAGGTCCAAAGAAAGCCACAACCTTCTACTTTGTGGCCATGATGATCTTTTACCTGTAAGGTCAGACACCCTTTGGCCATGATGCTCACTGCTGGCTGCACAGGGGAGTGAGCTAGGGGACGGCTCTAGTGCCCCTGAGACATACCTTAGACTTTAAACGCATTGGTCTGCATGGAGACCGGGCCCATCTACTTACTAAAAACTCTCCATGGGCTTATGTGCAGCTGGGGTTGACCACCACAGGTGGACGGAAACTTCTATAGCGAGGGCATTTTACAGTATCATGAAGCTGTTAATGGAATGCACGTTTTGTGTTCTATTAATGATCTTCTGCCAGCCATTCAGGAGAAAAAAGGTTCTGCTTCAATATGTGTCATCTGTTTAGACTAACCTTGAAAAACGTCACCTCTCAATTAGATTTTTACTCTCTGTCCTCTCTCTCCCCATGCGAAAGTTGATGACTACAGGGCAAGAGAAAAGTCATTTGTGTCACCAACGATTCAAGGGTTAAGGCCACATCTTTGCCTGTGGGTCAATATTTTCATAAGTGGTAAATAGCACTCATGAAGGATTTGCAGATAAAGATTGTTTGAAGTGGCTGTTTATGCTTCCTCTTCTGGAATATGGCATTATGTGTGTTTTAGCCTATCCTGTGCCCTTTGTGCATACAAGATATGAGGGATGCTTCCGGTGTATGTGTCATGATCCTAGGATGAAGCACATTTTCATTCAAATATATGAAGAATGGAAAGCTCCTAGTTTCTCTGATCATCAATACATTTGTAAGAAATTTGTAAACCTGGTGGACACAGCAGTCATAAACAAACCTCTCAAGATCTCTCAGAGGATCAAAGTTCACAGAACTTAACAATCTTGCATGTGTGTGCAAAGTGTGTGCAAGCATGTGCATGCATGTTAGCACACACTTGATTGATCAGTCCCATCACCGGTGCCTTTCCTATTATTTAAATCACCAACATACTGGTTTACTGTTTATTCGCAAATTGCTTATCTTTACCACTCTAATGAGAATAATTATTTCTTGGTCTAAGGAGAATGACATGGATGCAAAGAGCCCAAGTTTAAAAGTGTCAGTGGTGTGTGGGTGACAGGTAATGAGGCAATTTGGCAGAACATCAGAAACTAATTGAGCTCAGCTCACATCAATGAGGCTTGCTTAGCAGAGCCTGTGCCTCCGAAAAAGAACAGAGGGACTAAATGAGACAATGTGACATGTACAATTTTAATTGGGAGCTCTAATTTAAAATATTTAAAAGAATATTTAAAATAATTTGTGAGTCCACACTGATGCTGCCTCCTCCAGCTAATTAAGAATAGTCAGCGAGTCATATAATGTCTAGATGTCAAAAACATGAATTATTGAAGCCCCTGCACATATAAGTATACTTGTACCTTTAGGCAAGATCAAGTTTAGTTTAACAGAGGGAGATGGGGAAGAAACAGCCCTCCAGACTGCACAAGGGTAGGTGATTTTTAAGGCAATATTTTAAAAACCATTAAGTTGTTATAATAAATTGCAGAATTTGAAAAATTGAAATAGTATTTAAGTGTATTTCAAAAGAAGTCAGTTAGGTAAAATTTGAAATGTAATGTAGTGATTATAGTACAATGTTATTTTGATTTTTTTGATGCCTTGCTCTACTTTTTATTTAAGCTGTTTGGTTCGGGGTCTATATAGTAAGCAATTGTTCTAAAGACAGCAATTTTCAGAACCCTGAAATTCTTAGTTTCTAATATTGCTTAAAATTCAGGACCATTGGTCACTTAGAATTCTTCACAATTCTGTTTGAGAATATATATAAAAAAGAAGAATTTAGGGGAGAACAAGTAAAAGGTATTCAGTTTTACTGCTAACATATTCATAATTCAGTGAGAAATTACTTACAGAAAACCAACTTGCAAAATCTGAGACCTGCTCATTGAAAGTGCATTCACAGTATACTAGTGACTTAGGGTGACATAAAAATAACTCTTCTAAAACTGTGGCAACATCGCTACATCTTATTTCACTAGCCTTGATGTGATTTCTTAAGGAGAATGTTATAAATTAAAACATTTAGTCATATTTTTCATACACTTGCAAGTGATATTGACAATGAATATTTTGAGAACATGATGTTTAACCATGGTTTTCTTATTCACCTTTTTATTACCATCACAGATGTCCAAAAGGTAACAAATGCTATGGATTAGTTTTATGTAGCAGTTAAAATGTTAAGAGTTCTTAATAAAGGAGAGATTTTTAATAAGGTTAGTGGGTCATTCTTAGGACCATAGGTAAGAAAGAGATGCAGTATGAGAAATTGAGTGGATGAGAAAAAATGTATTTAAGAGATGGCAAAGACAAGTCATTTTAACTGGGTTCTGGGAAATGAATTAAGGAGCCTAAAACATGCTGGGAGAAAAATTGCACCTAATGATATGAAAACAGACAATTTGAAGTGGGAATTTTTTTCTCCAAGCTGGTAACTCTTGCTCTAAGAACTGCAGCTTCTTACATTGTTTTGTACATTATATATTACCCAGGGTCTTTCATCCGTCTTGCAGAATTGCAAAGCGAAGGCAAACCTGAAGAAAGTGCTGTCCTCAAACAAAGAAAGCTAAGACTGAATTGTTATTAACTATATGCATAGAGACAGCATGCACAATCCACACTCCGGACAGGCACACACCAATCACATGCATGCTGCATGTGTGCACACACACATCAGGCACACACATACAATACTGCATGTGTGCACATGCAAATACACTGAGTGGCCAGATTATTATGACCAGCCAGATTATTATGACCATCCCATCAGTACTTCATTGACACTTCCAAAAATACTGAGTATTGAAAACTTCCTAAGCAAATACTCTCAATGTTTTATTATTATAACTAATTCACTTCTTTGTACTGATGGGGTGGTCATAATAATCTGGCCACTCAGTGTATACATACTATACCTGGGCGCACATACATCAGATATGCACAGATAGATGCTGAATGTGTGCACACATGCCGTATATGCATACATACCTGCTGCCTGTGTGCACACATATCAGATATGCATATCAGAAAGCAGTTTATGTGTGCACACATGCATGCATACACATCATGAATACCTGATGCCTTAACTCACCAGATGTGGCCAAACATGCCAAGGACAGACACCAGGCTGCACCTTTTCTAACTCAAATTCCGGTCCTAAATGGGAACAACAGCTGCCCCTCAAACAGCTTAGTCTCTGTTCATGAGATAAGTATTGGGGCTCTTCTAAGGCATAACCTTTCCTGTTGTACTTATGAACTGTATTGAAAACCTGCGCATTGCCCTGGCCGGTTTGGCTCAATGGATAGAGCAACGGCCTGTGGACTTAAGATCCTGGGTTCAATTCCGGTCAAGGGCACATGCCTGGGTTTTGGGCTCTATCCCCAGTAGCGGGTGTGCAGGAGGCAGCCAGTCAATGATTCTCTCTCATCATTGATGTCTCCATCTCTCTCTCTCTCCCTCTCCCTTTCTCTCTGAAATCAATAAAAATATATTTTTTAAAAAACTGCTCATTTTATTTCTCCATGAAGTACAGCCTCAGAAGGGAGTGAGTAATCTCCAACTAGGCTGCAGACTGTTTTTTTGTGTTGTTTTTTTTTCCAGCAGGTTCCATTATGAGCGCACAGCCTTAGCAACCTGTGCGGTTTTTACATTAGCATCATGTGTTGGCATTAGCCCAGAGCCACAGAACATGGGAAAAAGGAGACCAGAACTCAGCAAAACCTTCCCTAGATTTAAGGACATCATGTTTATTTTATAGCTCAAACACTTTTCATAAAACTCAGAATTTCATCAGAATTTCATGTCACAAAATCATGACATCTGTTAATCACCTACCTTGTTGACTGTTGTAAAAACACCTAAAGGTAGAAATTTCATTTTTGGAAGTAGATTCTAGAGTTCTTTGGTTATACTTCATACATAATTATTACTGCATAGACAGTGCTCATTTAAAAATAATTTATACCTAATTAGCATGCATCGCCCCAAGGATTCCCATGATGTAAATAAATGCTGGAAGTGAACCCCACGGCCCCAGACATATGGACCGATTGGCCTGTGAAGTTCCAGTTGTTTATGAAAAATCATGTCTGGTTTCCTAAGACAAAGGAATCAGATCAGTATTTGGTTATTATGTAAGTTCTTAGAAACGTTGTGACTATCAAACTGATAATACCTTTGTGTGTGTGTGTGTGTGTGTGTGTGTGTGTGTGTATACAAATTTGCATTGTTCTTTATGCTTAAAAATCTAATGTTTACTTTTATAGATATTACGGTACTTCAGAATACCAACAGTTTGGTTTTGGTGGATCAAAATGATTCAAGGAAGAGAAAGGGAATGTGGTGTAATGTGTTCTTGGTGATCGTATCTCACTGCAGCAGATCCAATATTGTAAAATATGTTTTATCTGCCCAGTGTGCTTTAAGGTCAGGTAAACATAATTCTCTTATATTTTGAAGTGCATGTAAGTTCAGGGGTGAGGGGAGAAGAAACTGTCGTAATTGCATTGTTCTCACAAACTGTTTCCTTCTGGTACTTTTTCAGAATTAACCTTATTCTCTTTAGAAAACTCAGGCAGACTGTATTATCAGTAGTATCTGTTTCCCTTAATTGTAATTCTTTAATCATGTATGATTCATTCTTTTTAATGATTGAGGAAAATCAGTGGTTATGTTTCATAAAGTAGAAATACATATTTTGCTAATCTCTCATAGGATTCGACACCTCAAAGCATATTTTACCTTATACATTTTGCTAGACTCAATATTACCAACTAAATAATCACTCTCCCATACATGACTTTTTAAATAGGTTTTCCTACAGTTGTATAATAGTCAATGACTCAGATCTGTGTGCTTAAATATTTGTAAAAGCAGATCAGTAAAAATCAAACACCAACTTTTTATGTAAAATATCATTTTTTCTATCCAGTTCAAACAGTTTTATGATGCAGGTAGATTTTATTAGAACTTATTGTAATCCAGGAAATATGCTCATGTTCCTTTATTTTTGCATTTAAACTACTAGCTTGATTTTTCCAAATTGAAGACAAGCCTACTTTTTTAAATGAACGCATGAACCTACATTAGCCTGCAGCCAAAAGTCCTCAGGAACCTATAGGAAGTAAGATTAGCTGGCATTTAATCAAAGGGTATGTTAGTTCGAGCTGATGTGATTTAGAAATATAATTAAGGTATTTTAACTACATCAGCCCCATTTTATCACAAACTCGCAAAAACTTCTGGGCCTGGCTGCAGATTTATGACGCCTATAAATGTCACCCAGCTTGGCACACGGTAGCTTTGCCAGGGAAGTCATCTTGTGTTACAGACTACGGAGTGTGGCCAGTGAAAGATGACTTGTGTCAGCGAGACCTGTAGCCTGGAGCTACACTTGTGTGCTATTTCTTTAATCTAGTTATTGCAGCCTTGAAGTGTGTGTTAGCAAGCTGAGCAAGGAGATGTCAAAAGCCCAACCCAGCCTGATCATCAAGGACTGCCAGGGAAGGCAAAAATAAATAAATGAAAATAAATCCCCTTATATTCCTCCCTTGATTGTATATTTTAGAATATGCTGACTTTTTTTTTAATTTGAGAAGTGGTGTTATCTAATGTAAGAGAATAGAGTTTACCATAGTGTAATGTTGCCTTAAGAATTGAACTTTTGATAATCTGTCTGAAGATATGCTATCAAGTTGATTATTACATAGATTGAAATTTTAATAATCAAATATAGTTATTAACACTAAAAGGAGAAATATAGTACTATTCTTATGGAATGTACAGTGGATTAATCATGATAAAACTGCTTTAGTTTACATAAATATGAGTATATCAATAGTTGAAGATAATTCTAAAAATCATTATAAGATGTATTAATAAAATTGAGATATCATAGGTAAATATTTAATCATCGCATTTGATTAAAAACAAGTTATAAGACAATAATATGTCATTTATAGATTATTATTATTTCCCCAATTTTACTAGCTAATTTATGCTGATTCAAAGACGGGGAGTCAAATATTTCAACTTTTTATATCACATAACTTATAAAAATGCATTAAAATAATTTAATTTATAAATGGCGGAGTGAATTTTTATTTGTGCTCAACTTTTGCTCAAAGTATGATTAAATTACTTTGTTTCCTTTAATAAAAATTAATTTTAATAGTTAAGCAGTTTTAAAATATTTCAGTTACATTTTTTAAATATGGAAAGTAACTTGTTCTTTTGGAAAATGTGATCAAAATTGCCAAAAGGATAAACCTACTTAGCATATACAGATACATTATGATAATATTAGTAAGTACACTGTATTTATATGTATAGATATACAAATTTATATTATAAG